TGTAAAAAAAGTAGGAATTCAGAATCACAAGGAATGGCATAAGCACAAGTTATAGTATGCCCTGGTTGAGTTATATTGCATCATGCATCACGGAACACCACAAATCAAAGAAATTTGTTTATTTCTGAATTGTTCATTCACAACAAGCTACATTCACTAGTCTTTGAATTCACAAGCTACAATCTGCAATGGATAAGCTCACAAGCGACAATTTGCAAGTACTAGAAACGTTAAACAGGAACAATAAAATCCATAGACATGGTCCTTGTTTACTTTGCAACGGGCTGTGCTCGTTTCCCACACAAGTCTCTTGCAGCATGCGGTCGAGGAGTCGATTGATACAGGGATTCACAAACCATCCCGGATGCACTAGATACAACGCCATATTTACAATACTAAGTATCACTAGATCTATCATGAATTATATTTTTTATGTTATATTTATCTAGTATTTTAAATGTTCATATTATTTAAAAAAATCTCAAACTTTACAAAGTTTTTTTAAACAATTTTTCTTAATAGTTTCTCATAGATGGATATTTTGCTCATGTCCCATGTATACCTGGCCCAGCCGGCCCGGTCTTGCATGCGGGCCAGGGCTGGACCTGAGTTTTGAGCGTGAAGCACATGGGCCAGGCCTGGGCTTGGCTTTTTTTGCGTTTTAGGGAAGAGGCCCGAGGCTCGGCGGGCTTTTTCATTGTCGGGCCGAAACCGAGTCTAGGTTTTCTGCCTTGGGCTTTGTTAGGCCTGGCCTGAAGCCCGGTCCGGCCCGACGGATGGCTAGGTATAGTCCCATGATATGACACCTCAAAAAATAAGTCCCATGATATGCGACTCGGTCCCCCATCGTGGTTACATCTTGCATGAGATGGTTGATGAGGTAACCGTCATGCATTTGCGAAGAGAGCTTACATGTGTACTGCTCAGTGCTGACCACTTGACTTTGGACGAATGATGAGTTGACATTTATTATTGGGAAATGTTTCCCTCCGGTCCGCCGGCTGAAGCGACGCGCCGGTCGCCTCTGTCGCTAACGCACGTGCCTTTGTGGCCCACATGCAGGAGCGGGCCGCATAAGGACGTGTCCCACTATACACCACACGGACCTTATCCCCTTTCTTCTCCATCGATTTCTTCTCCACCGAAACAGAAATAGCTCCCATGCTCTTCTCCACACACCACGGCAAAAACTCCATGGATCCCCACCTCTTCCCATCTCCTTTTAATCCTGCCTCATGTGCCGTCTGCTCCTCGCGCAGGCCGTCGAGCTAATTTTTGCCAGCGGGAGCGCCGTTCCCTATTTCTCACTGCTTTTCTTGTGTGCAGGGACGCGCGGAGCGGTCACCGCCTGTGCTATGAACCGGCGACGTCTTGCTGCTACGAGCGGTGACCGACGAGGTGCGGGACGACCAGCGGCGACGCAAGGTGCGGCGGTGCTCCAACCGCATGCACGCAAAGCTGGAACCGGCGTTCCGAGGTGCTACAACCGGCATGCGGCCATGCTACAATCAACGCGCGGCGGCGACGACCACTACTGGCGATTTGCTACAACCGCGGTGTCGACAGTTGCAACCGGTGACAAGAAATGCTACAACCGGCCATCCATTTGCTGGAACCGGTATCAATTTTTGCTGCCGTCGGCCACCGATTTGCTGGAACCAGATGCGTACTCATCGTCAACGTGCGATATTTGCTGGAACCAGTGTATGTTTTTGCTGGAACTAGCTTTTCCTTTTGCTACAATCTTTTTTTGTTTGCTACAATAGAACCAATTCGAGTCTCCCTTCAGAGTTATTTTGCTGGAACCAACGTTTTTTTTGCTGGAACTAGCAATTTTTTTTGCTACAATCAACCACCGAAGTTTTCTTTGTTGAGGTTAATTTTGCTGGAACCGGTGTGTTTTTTGCTGGAACCTTATAATGAATTTGCTTCAAACCGGCCACTGAGGATTTTGTTAGTTTTTGCTGGACACCGACTACCGCGGCGAGCCGGAGGTGGACCGCGGCGAACCGGAGGCGGGGCTACGCTAGGGATGCTGCAACCATGGCACCCGTGAGCTGGATCTGGTTGTTTTTAGAGCTTCATCCTTAATGAATCGCCTCTGGAATCAATCGCGGCCGTTATGCAATTCCGGCGGCCAAGGGGCGGGACCTCGTGGGAGCTCGCGGGGAACGGCCACAACGGCGACGAGGATGGGTGGTGGTGGTGTGCCCGAGGATGGGCGGGACCTCGTCTTGTTTTTCTGTCGAGCAGTGCTAGGAAGAAGACGACACAGATGGGTCAAATCCAACAGCTACGCATGATTTGATCGGGTGGCTGTGCCGGCCCAAATTTGGGCCGGTGCACCGGCGCCTAGCACTACCCTTTATTATTTTGACCTCTGAAAGAATAGAGAATGGAATTCAAACGCGCATTCTATTACCTTAACTGAAAGTTCCAAGGTCCAACAAGCTAGGAAGAACGATTCAAGTAACTGAAGTGCACGTATTGAGCAGGCCACCGATTCAGACCAAAATCCCCCGCGTAGGGGAGAAAAAACAAATATTACCACCAGGAAATTCTTCCTTCCTCGCGTTTGAATCCTGCAGAACAGGTCAGAAACTTGGCGCCAAAGGTCATGCATGCTCCTCCAAGCGAGAACACAGGCCTTGAAACCTTGCAAACGGCATGAACACTGCCGAAACAGTGCGTGCGACTCTGAACCCCAGCGATGCCTATATAAGCAAGCTCACCCATGGCATGATTTCTCCAAATCAACCGAAGCCCATCTGGTTTAGCGCCAGAACTGCTGACATTTGAAATACTACGAGACAAGTCTCTCTCCGTCTCTCTCTGGGATACACAGCGATGACGATGGCGAGGATTGCGGAGGTGATGTTGCTGCTCATGTTCTTGATGCTGATCTTCAGCGTCCACCTCGCTTCGGCTGCGAGGCTGTTGGAGGGTGAAGGATGGAGGGAGGGCGGGATCGGGACGGTGACACGGTAGCTCGGCGGCATCAAGCAGTCAGGGTCTAGCCCCCCGACGCACTGCTGCTAGTTTCACCATGCATTCATTCCATAGCGGCTAAGCTAGCAACTCTGACGACTTCGTTCGTTCATTCATCATTTTGGAGAGCATGATACAGACCACCAGTGTTTGATTCATGCTGATCTATTCATTGCTTCTTTGATTATATTGTCCTTTTTCCCTCTTTCTTTGGGATAACAGTGAAGGTGTAAATTATGATACCATTTAGCAGTATATATGATTTTTTTGGTTTAGTCGGTTACTTGGATACATTTGTCTTTGGCTCTCTGCATATTAGCTTGTGTTCTTCGGGACTCAGTTAAAACAAATCACAAAATTCAACACAATAATAACAGTATTCACAGAGGCAGCGTCATGTTGGAGGTTGCGCTACTAGTTTCAACTTTCAAGACTCGAGCTTTTTCATGGCTTGTATGAAAATTATTTGGATCGAAGAAATATTATGGGCTCATTTGTTCACGGCATTTCAGAAACACGGGAATGTGAAAGATGCAAGGTTCGAATGTCATGCACTCCTGAATCCTATAGTATTCAGAAACTAGAGGCAGTATCATCAAGCCCTTTTGGCACGCCACGGGAAAAACGGTGTACCATGAGGTTTGACTGCATACAAAATTGTCTTTGACCTCACTGCTTTTTTTGGAACTTTCTTTGACCTCACTGCTTTGCATCAACTACTAAAGATAATTGTGTCCATCATAATGATGCAAAGGTAGGCGTTTGAATCTCCTTTTAGTAAGTATTAAAACTTATTTAACTTATCCCAAGTAAATATACATAGTGCTTTCTCCCCTAAGAAAATTCCTATTGATAACGTGAATGTTAAAAACTGACCTAAGATTTTAGCATTTTTGGGCGAACACCCTCACTCATGTTGGGCTCTACGCGCGAATCCTAGAATGTTTGACCCCACGCGTGAATTCTAGAATGTTTGGCCCCACGCATTCTCTGTGTTATGTTATGCTCCAAATTTAAGTATAAAGAAGAAGGCTAACTTCTGACGAGCGAGCGGAGCGAGGCCCGTCGCCGGTAGGCTTGGGTGTAACGCCCGGATAATTAAGCTGCAGTGAATCTCCGCTAATGATGCCACGTCACCTCGGTTACTGTTGCTGTCCTCGCAATAATTCGAAATCGTTCAAAATTCAAATTCAAATTTAGGACAAGAATAAAAGTTTTCAAAAATTAAAACAAAAATGTTCGATGGTTGCCGAATATTACAAGGGTAATTATGGGGCAACAAACACCTTTTTATAAAATGGTTAAATGGTTTAAAATGATTTAAACAGAAAAGAAAGAAATAATAAAAAGAGAAAAAAAAAGTAAAACAAAAATAAAGAAAAGGAAACCCCCTCTGCGCCACTGGGCCTTGGCCCACCAAGCCAACCCCAGGCCGGCCCGCCCCACCACTTAACCCCCCACACCCCGTAACCCTAACCCCTCC